CACACATTGTTATCAGCACTGCAGATAGTAAGATTAAAAAACTGATACACTCCTGAAGGGAATGAAAGCCTTGGAATGTTCCCAGAAACTGCACTAACCTTTAAAAAAAGAGGAAATGCAGCGAGCCGGGCATCCCTCACCATGAACCACAGCTCGATGCAGGGGAACCTGCTCTTATCTTCTCCAGGATGGATCTGCATTGACTGACAGAGCAGAAATGTAGGAGCTTATACATTTTTACTTAAACGAAGAGCACTCAATGAGCCTTTTAGGTGTTTGACTCTCATTGCATACTTCTTCCATCACTGGTTTTAATTGTGAACATCTTATTTATTTATCAATCATCTAATTAAATAGCACCAAAATATACAGATTAAAAATCCAGCCCTTGAATGTGAAACCTGGACTTTGAATTATTAAAGAGGGGAATCTAAAGTTGACTTAATAAATCACTTGTTATATTCCATTTCCTAGTTCTGTTTTTTTAAAGACGGAAATCGTTCATTTGAAAATCCAGCAAAATTGAGTGAAAAAGTATTCCTGTTTAATAATGTAGAAAAACAACTCATTCAGGTTTCCCTGGTAACAATCAGGAGAAGTGAATACCTGCGGAGGATTTTACGATCAGGTTCAAGGGACCAGAGGGCCTCCCTATAAAGGAGAAGAAATAAAGACAGAAGTTATCTTGTTCCTACAGTTCTTCTTCTTTCTTGTGGTATCTCTTATAATGAAACATCAATGAAAACGTGTTATTATCCCAGTGTGTTGACTTCACACTGCTTTCATCAGCATGTCCAATCTGCCCTCTGATAACACATAGAAACCAGATACATGTGTTGATGTACTTTATATAATGGATATATATTCAACCTTTACTCTATATGTACTTTCACCTGTTAAAGTTCAGAGTTTAACTCGTGTTGTTTAGTTTTTATTCATACTATCACTACATGTTTATTTGTATTCTATAGATTTCCATAATCCAAAGAAAAATCACATTTCATTTAAATAAAGAATAAGTACTAGGCAAAAAGATATAAATCAACAATGCAGGAAAAGTAAAGTAGTGTTAAATTGAACTATTCATATCTTAAACTGCACTGTAACTTTTATCCATGTATTTTTTCTTTTAGTGTTTCTTTTATTATCTTTTCTTTTTAATGACTAATTTTAAATGCCATTTTCTTAATGTCTTTCATTTTTTGGAAAGCACTTTGAATTGCCTTGTGTTGAAAAGTGCTATATAAATAAACTTGCCTTAAATTATATAGTTGTACTCTTAAGACAATTCAGTTCAAAAGGTTCTGTTGACCTACTCGACAAAGACATGGAGTCTTACCGTCTGATAGCCAAGCGATATTCCAGTAACTCCTTCTCCATGATCTCACGTCTCGTTGCAGGAGCAGCTTCTCTCTTCTTCTCAGTCCTGCAGAGATGGAGCGTTGACAGACAGGTGGAAGGTTCAGGAGCTTATTGACTAAAAGATGGAGTTACAAATGTCCTCCCATAGAAAAACATGTTTGACAAAGGAGGTCAGCTGGACTAGTGTTTCTCAAATGGGGGTGTGTGTACCCATCGGTGGTCTTTGGAGTACTGTGGAGGGGCTGAGAGATTAAAGAAGAAGTTACATTACATGTTTCTTTTAAATAATTAAACTAGATGTGAATGGAGTTATGGCAGTCTTCTTTTTTTATTACCATGTTGTTTTTTAGTGAAGGAGGCGCTGATAGTAGAGCACGGTGTTTCACCTTTTTCATTTNCCGTGAATATCGAAGTAACAAAGGGTCAACAGGTCATGGTGGTGGGCTGCTACAGACCCCCCTCAGCTGTCAAGGACTCTTTATCTTCATTGGCAACATTTTTAAATGTTGCCAATGAAGATAAAGAGTCCTTGACAGCTGAGGGGGGTCTGTAGCAGCCCACCACCATGACCTGTTGACCCTTTGTTACTTCGATATTCACGGCTAAAAATTCTAGTTGTTTACTAATAGATTTGGAAACCATCTTGGTTACACAAAACTTATTTTTCACATAAATGGCAACGCCACCACCTTTTTTAGGACGGTCGGTGCGATATACACTATAACCATTTATGTAAATGTCAGAGGCCAAAATGGATTTATCTAGCCACGTTTCTGATAAGACAATGACATCAGCATCAGTCGAGCTCGCCCAAATACGGAAAAAAATCTAATTTAGGTAACAGACTGCGCACATTTAAGTGAATTGATCCCAACCCAGACCTAGAAATAAAATCAGCAGGAGTAGCTATCTGACTACTGCTACTACTGGGTGGACCAGGGTTTGGTTGCACATTCCCTGATAGTAACAATAATACAAATACCAAGCACCTTTTAACTCCTATGCAAATGTTCAAAAAGTACTCAAACTTCACAAGTGTGCTAACAGTCCAGCCGTGAAGACATCTACGGGACAGTTTTGAGATTTCTTCAAATGCCGTTGCCATGGCAACACACTGCTCGGCTTGAAACACTGTTTTCTCATAACTTCAGTGAAAATACTCCAAACAGCCCAAAACTNGCGTGACGTACATTGACGGCACTACAGTGCGCACGTTGAAACGGACCAAATTATGCCGATCTTGAGGCCTCTGTACAAAGAGCGACCGCGACGCGAGACAGAGGAATTCTTTCAGTGCGGTCAGGCCTCCCTCTACGACCCATTAGCGCTCCGTTTGCTCCATCAGGATCGCATGGCCTAAGATGTACTGCAAGAATTGGCTGCCAGAAAAAAATCTTGGATGGGATGAAGCTATTCCCCATCGCTCTTCTCCAAGCATGGGCTGGCTGGTGGAAGATCTCCACAAGGTGGCCCGGGGTTCAAGATTGATCGCTGTGCTCAGCCGCTACCACCCACCGACTTTAGCAAACCCTGGTCACCTGTTCCGGCTTGATCATCGACTTCTCTCTGATGCGCAGCTGAGGTCGGTTATGGAACTGTTATGCGTATTTAAGACCTGGAAAAGCCGACGCAATAAAAAGGTGCCCACTCTCTGTTGCTTTTACTCTGGGCGACACGGCAGGCACGTTGCCCTCCACTGAGAGAGCAACACTGACAATTTCCTCGTTGCGAGCTCACAGCTGAGTGTTCCGCCTGTGTTCAGAGTAGACCGGGCATGCTACGAAAGGAATTGCAGATGTGGTGGAAAACTGAGTGCGTGTGTTCTGCGACCGGACAGCCACAACGAGTCCTTGAAAGTACATGATGCAATGAAACCGGCGAGTTCCATACCTTTTGTCGGGGCCAAATCGACATTGCAGTCATCAGGGAGAGGCAACTGATTGTGTGACCAGTGGAGGTATGCTCTCGGGACTGAGGAGAACCCTTGCCAGATGACGGCGTCAAGAGGCAGACTCGCGCGCCGCCACGGACTCCTGAATGGAGAGGAGGGGCATGGGATGATCGGGACCTGATTTTCCTTTCTCCCCAAGTCGCAGGATGAATGCGCTAAACTTGGACGTACGACTGGTTCAGATTGATCGCCTGGCTGCTGACCCTGAGCAGATGAAAAGCGGACGTGTGGACGTAGCTGAATGGCTGTTGTGTTAAAGACGCACAGACCAGATGGCGTATGAGGCCACCTGCATTCATCACTTTTCATCCTGGGAAGAGACTGCAAGAGCTGTTGCCTTGGGCCGTTCTAAAGTTCAACGGACTCTGTGTTATTGGCCGACATAAGGAAACGGCCTTTCGTCGCTTCTTGCTGAAGCTCAGTCAACAGGTAACAAGGCCAAAACTGAAGATGCCTTTGTGCCAGTCTACACTTAAAGGACAGAGTTCTCCATACCTCAAGATGCTGACCAGAGCACGAGCTGATCAATCATCCAGTATGCTCGCAACATCAACGGCTTCAAGGAGCGAAATCACCTCGCTGCAGGAGTGCTGCCTGCAAAACAATATCCAAAGACATGTCCCGCCCTGCTTACAGATTGCGACCCAGTGATGGGAAGGTGGAGATCCTCAGATTTGGCGGCTCGGGGCTTAGCCAAGTCCTCGCTGCAGTTCTGAATCTACAACGTCCTGCCTCATTCGATGCTCCACACGACCTGCATGTACTCCACATTGATTCTGCGCCACATTCATCACGCAGCTAGGTCAGCTGGGCGCTACATATTGTCCAGATTAATGCCGGAAGTATTGCGATTATAAATGCAAACTCTTGCTGCCCCAACAAACGCTCATATCGATCGGGGTGTACGTTTCGCCGGACGCCAGAACGAGGAAGACTCCTTGACCATAGAAAATGTCTGACTTACCTGGCTCGAGAGAGGTTCCTGACTTGAAGCGTCCCTTCACTCATCGTGGCGTCTGATTAGTTTGCCCATCTGAAGTTAAAAGCACGGCCAGGGCTCTTTCTCAAAAGATATGGAGTGGCTCTGTGCACATGTGATGACCAGCCGGGCCGCTTACACTTTGGAAGTAGCCAGCAACAACGCCTGGATCACGGACTCCTGTCAATAAACTTCGCAGCTGGGGAGAAGCATTTCATCCTGCAGAGCCGGATGGCCGCCGAGGTGTCCACTCTCGAGGCTACTGACAACCTGGAATCCAGCACTGTTGCAGTTGGAGCTAGCCCGTGGAGCTCAAGGAGGAATTATGATTGCTCTGAATCATGGGACAAAACTCCAAGCGGCAGCCCCTTGCTTCAGGACGCGCCATAGACACATGGCGATTCACAGACCCCATCAGCCTTCTCCATCGAAGGCTTTGTTGTGCTGTTTGGCAGCCCGTGCCTGATTTCGCTCAGTGGAGCGAATGTGCTTAACTCGAGTCGCGCTGTAAACAGGCCCAAACCTTTGGACGATGAAGCGACTCCAAACAATGTTTGTGAGAGTTGAGCCAATATTGACATGCCTAGACTCATCACAAAGGCCTCTCCAGATGTATGCGCCCGAGATGATTGGCATGCCCTTACTGCCGGAATCATGGTTCTGTTTGTTGTAAAATACAAATTGTCTTATGCACGCAGGGCCCTGTCTGACCAGAAGATGATCTTGTGTGTTTAGCGACCCGAAAGGATGGAGCCAGATTACCAGTTACATGGCGCAATCTTCTGGATAGATGTGGTTCTGGAGTATACCTTGCCATTGATGCAACAGAGACAAAACAATGGACAGCGAAGTAAGAAGAAGAAACCTCATGACCTGGAGATGTCTTGTTCTTCTCGGTGGCAGACGCTACAGCCCCACAAGAGATCCTTGGCGCCATGATGGGGGAGCATTTTAGACAGTCAGAGCAGATGTGGAGAGCCATGCTGGCGCTCTGTGCCGTCTCCAAACAAAAGACCACGTATCCTGTGGAAGAGGCCTGTGACGAAGCTCGTGGCCTTGCCTGCTGGAGGCAACCACTGGTGGACCGCCATGGGACTCTCGTATCTTTCGTCTTGCCTCTCTCTCTGTCTCTTTCGCATCAATAAACACCTCTTCCTTCATAGGTTTGCCAGAGAAGACATCAGTGCCTGACCGAATTGCATCGTTAGTGTGTAGCCCATGTCTTTTAAGTCCTATACTTGTCGATAAATGCCCGCATATTTAGGGCCGGAGTGTTAGAAGCTACACAGTCTTTTGCATACTAGTAATTCGTAGTCGTTGTTCATTTAATTGTCTTATTATGATTTTGCTCACACGGGGGGCCGGGCGTGCGATTAGAAGTATTATATTTGTCGGCCGGTAGATATTCTGTTTAAGTTAATAATTAAGTTTGTTGGTTATTTCTTTGCGGTATATTTTAGTCTTTATTTGGTTAATTTATTAGTGTGTGATTTGTGTGTGGTGTGTTGAGGGTAGTGGTGAGCACAGGTAAAGGTGTTATATAGGCATGAATGCGCAGACACCTGTTTTTGCACCCTCGCCGTAATGGGTCATGGTTTTTTACCAGGCACGCGCCGAGAAGAGGATTGTGTTGTACAAAGGAGAAAGAATTGTTTGTGACCGAGAAAACAATAAAACCAGCCTCAACGACAGAACCCATGCCTGGAAATTGGTTGACTTTCTACACTGCGTACATTACCTGCCCAGGGTGCCAGAAGTGATCCGTTTGAAGGTTTTAACTTATTTTGAGTTTAAGTTTAGGACAAACGGCCACTACAATATCTATTTGCCTAGTCCTTATTCTTTATTTAAATGAAATGTGATTTTTCTTTGGATTATGGAAATCTATAGAATACAAATAAACATGTAGTGATAGTATGAATAAAAACTAAACAACACGAGTTAAACTCTGAACTTTTA